ATGAAGAATTCGAAAGGGAAGAACAAGAAAAGAAATTAAAAGCGGAAACGGGTCCCGAAGTCAAAGATGATGTCATACAGCTGTTATCGGCGACTGAGAAAGCCAAACTGAGCTTATTAGAGAGCGAATATGAGAGCAAAATTCTCGAAATAAGGATTTCTTCTTGGAGGAGCGAACTCGAGGAGATTCAGGCTCTCATCCAGAGAAGAGAAACATTCATAAACTGCATGAAGGAAAACAGAGACAATGCACTGTTGCAAGTCTTCAAGCCGTACGGGAATAATCTGAACGAAATCAAGAAAATCAGAACAGCTAAAGACTTCTTGACAAGGATGGTGACGGAGACAGACGAACAGTTTAAGGAAAATCTCCAAAAACTAAAAGAAACGGGCCTGAAAGACAAAAAATCTGCCGAAGAAGACGCGAACGACCGCATTCGAGTCGTCAAGAACAAACACGAGGTGAACAGAGACAGCATCTCCAACAAAAACGACTTAGAAACGAGAAGAAGAAAGCCCAAGAACGAAGGCGCCTCAGACCTCTTCCAGACGTTGTGGAAGACGCACGAAACCACACATCACGTGGACGTCAAAAGAGCGTCGGCCGAACTCGATCCAGTGTTAGAATTACGTTTTCACCGAGACGTCGCGACAGCACTCGGCAGGTACATTGCACAGCTGGAAATGTGTGTTGACTTCATCGTGTTGCTTGGGAACATTGTCCAAGAGGAGGTCTGAGGAAGAGAAACACTTTGTTCTATTTGTTCTCTAAATATTTCGAGGGAATTCATTCTTTTATGAATAACTGTATCTATATTTCTATATTTTTCATTCCTTTGCGCTATAAAGGAATTCAAATCTACGAAAAATGGCTTAAACAATTATTCGCTAAATGATAATCTCAATTAATCATGTAAATGGTTTTGACAAATGAGTATTGTAATCTTATTAATACTGCTAACATGTCTTGTCGCTCATTATCACTATTATTTACACATCCTGAAATAAATTCCTTTGCTATTAATTAATGCTAATCAATTAAGAGCTTTGCCCGTGTTATTAGGTGTCATTAGTGGAAATAATTAATTCAACTTTTTCCTCTTTCATGCGACTCTATAACCTTCTGACATGCAAAACTCGCATTTAACAGGATCATAGTGTATAATGATACTGCACGAACGTTTTTTTTTTTTTTTTTTTTTTTTTTTGGAAATAAAACGAATGCACTTTCACTCCGCTTTACTTTTCCTTTCAGTGTTAGACGAGACAAAAGTTTTTTTTTTACAATTTTTTTTTTTATTTTTCCTTTGTGTCTGGATTCGTGGTTTTCCTCGATCCCAGAGATGAGTAAAAAAAAATTTAAAAATATATAAAAATACTGATAACAAAACCTGTAAAATTCACTCGACCAAGAAAATGAGTTAATACCCACTTCAGTCTTTCTGCATAACTACTAAAAGAAAAAAAAATATCAGAGAATATCCGTTGGTTATCGTCTTTATCCAGAGGCTTTCGTGTATTCCATTTTATCTGTTGGAATATAGTGTATAAAACATCACCTCAAGTTCCTTCCCTGGACTGGAATTCCTTAATTTTGTAATTCCTCCCCGAAGTGGCTCCCGGTTGAGAACCACTGATGCAGACGAAGCAGGACATCTATCGAATTAGAAGGGGGTGGAGATCTGAAAAGAAAGACTAAGCAAACAAAAACAAGAAGAGAAGAGAAGAGAAGAGAAGAGAAGAGAAGAGAAGAGAGAGAGAAGAGAAGAGAAGAGAGAAGAGAAGAGAGAGAAGAGAGAGAGAAGAGAAGAGAACAGAGAAGAGAAGAGAAGAGAAGAGAAGAGAAGAGAAGAGAAGAGAAGAGAAAGAGAAAAGAAACTGCACACATCGAGAAGGAGAATGTGGTAGTTTCAAACTCTCCGAATTAGCGACAAAATGTGACCCATCTCTCTCACTTCTCAATTAATACACACAGTCTTTGTAATGTGGCTTATATGTATATTTCTGATAAATAAACGGTATCATATCTCACGCACTGCAAAATTCATATTCTTCATTACTTTGTTTCTGAAATTCTGTGCGTGTATGTGTGCTTTCCACTAGGAATTGTGTGCGTTTTTATTCACTTCTGAGCAAGTGTGCGGAAATTAATAAATAAATAAATGATCAAGAGAGAAATTAAAAGTTACGAAGCTACACGTGCTGTCAATTAGAATACTAGTTCCGTGTCTTGGATAAGTTCCGTGAAAGACAAGGCAAAACTTGTTCAATTATGTGTGAAATGGAAAAGCTAAACTCTGATAGTTACAAAGGACAAAAAAAGATAATGGCAGTAAAACAGGAACTGGCAATTAAAGGCAATAATGATGCAAATCAATATTAACACTGTAATGATAAGAGAAAAAAATAATGAAGATAAAGATTGCAATGATAATGATGATGGTGATAATAAGTTATAATGATTATGAAAATTACAATAATACTTATAATCATCATTATAA